TCTCGTGCCCGGGCAGTCCTGGGAAATCCCTGGAGAGGTCCTGGGAATGGCGACAGTTTCACAGCTTGGCTTGTGCCGTCCGCACGATTATGCGTGCTCGGCCTGGTGGATGATCCACGCCGAGCGGTGTGAGACCTGTCTGCACAAATATTGCCCAGCTGGCTCTGACTGTATCTCTTGTCTCAGGCTCAGCAGTGTGCGCTGGTCCAGTCGCTCTTGATCTGTCTCTCTGTGACCTGCAATTCAGAGTAAAAAAAGAAAGAGACCAAAAGGCGCACCAGGGGAGATAAAACAGAAGGAAGAGAAAAGGAGAAGTGGGAGAAAGGGGAAAAGGGAGAGGGTTTCAGACGCAAAGTACGGAGGTACCTTGGTACCTGCAGTAGATCAGAGGGGGCGAAAGGCGACGGCAATTCTCAGGCACAAGGGACGTGATCACCACTGGCACTTTACCACACTACGGTTCAGCCTTGCCGATGCCCGTGCATGATTGGCTGGGCCGGGGACCGAGGCGCCTAACGGGTTTCGCCTCCCGCAAAATTTCCTGCGCTGGCGCTGCTTTGGGCCTAGCGCAGTAAACAAAGCCAAGACGCTCTTGCCTCTTTCGCTCCTCCGCTGCTCTCCTGCTCTTCTCATCCCCAAGCCCAGCCCAAGAGCGCAGACGAGACGGCCAGAGAAAAGTCCTTCTCGTCCTGTTGCGGCAAAGGTCCATCTTTCTCTAGTCTCTGCTAGTCTCCTTCCTCCCCACATCTCTCTCCCTCTCTTTCGTCCCTTTCCCATTCCTGTCCTTTAAACTACGCGGACCCTGGAAACACGACCCCGGGCCCTCTTTTCTCTTTCTCCCCCTTCTCCCTGAGCTCGATTCTCTCTCCACGCTCCTTTGTTTTTATCCTCGTTTTGTGCATTTTTCCCACCCCTAACCCATATCCATACTTATTATCATCCATTAATGTCCCGATTTGTTTGCCCTCCTTCCTTGCTTCACGACCTGGCTTAACGCACGACCCGCGGGTTTCCTTAGTTTCATTCCTTTCCTCGCCCTTTCGAACCCGACCTCCTCTCGAAACCACCCCCGAATTCGCTTCTCCGTTTCCCGCGCAACACCTGGATGATAGGGCCTGTTGTCGGTCGTATCTTCTCTTGGTCCTAGATAGGCTTTCCTGGGGGTTTGTTCCACGCACCCCAGGCTGAACGGCTGCTGCTTCTACACATCGCAATCTCGCCCTCTTTTGCAGTTCCCTCGATAGCTCTTTGCTCTCTGTTCCCTACTCCCGGGCCGAGATATCATCGACTACAGACACATACACACAGAGATATAGACATACATTGGCTACAGACATGAGTCGAGTCTTTCCAATGGAAGAGTGGGCTCCTGCTCAGATCTCGAGAGCTATGACTGAAAACTTCGGGTCCGTGGGCGCTGGTGCTGGTCCTGCGACGGAGGAGAAAGTAGTCTCTTCTCCACCACGCAGATTTAGAAGACGTCTGGGTTCGCTCCCTCTCGGTGCTGAGCGCTCCATCTCCGACTTCAGTCGCCTTTCCATCGTCGATCAACCAGAACAACCGCGTGAGGAAGGAAAACTGGGAGGACGCATCCGGGGATTACTGCGCCGGGCATCAGTTTCCATCAAGTCTGTGAGGCCTAGGAGACATTCGCATGCCGCCGAGCTGGCTCCACGTCCAGCAACTGCTCACATCCACAACCCGTGGCACAAGTTGAGGCAAGCTGCCAGCTTCACCAGGTCATCCAGGATCCTGATGCCGCAAGACGTCCAAGAGTTCCTGGAGGAACAAGACAGCCCCTATGAGGAGTACATGTCGCCGATTCCTGGAAATGGATCGGCACCTCCAATCATTCCCCTGGGGACGGGCAAGGCTGCGCGAGCTACGGCAGCGGCACAGAACCAGTATCAGCGTCAATTGCTGTCGCCAGATGAGCAGCAGACGGACCGTGAGAGTGGTATCGGCATATCACTGACGACCTCTGATGTGGTCCAATACCAAGAGGACGACACATCCACCAGCCGCATCGATTTTATCTCCTCGCTCCCCAGCGAACTGTCCATCCAGATTTTGGCTAATCTGGATCATGCATCGCTGCGCAGCACCTGCAGAGTCTCTCGCAACTGGGCACGCATCTCACAGTCGCAACACATCTGGCGCGAGGCCTTCTTGAGGGAGAAGTCAAAGGCATACGCCATGAGCAAGCCAATCGTCCCCGGCACAGGACTGGGACTCCCTCCTGTGAACCCAAGCAATGATTGGAAGGATCTCTACCGAGTTAAGCAGCAGCTGGAGAACAATTGGCGCGAGGGCAAGGCCGAGCCTGTATATCTCAATGGTCATCTGGACAGCATTTACTGTGTTCAATTCGATGAGTGAGTTAATTTTTTGCTAATAAGGATGTAGCACCGGGTGTGGAAACTAATTGTCGTAGGTCTAAAATCATCACTGGCTCCAGAGACAAAACCATCCGTGTCTGGGATCTTCACACGTACTCCTGCAGTCTCATCATTGGACCGCCCGACGTAGTGCGTGATCCCACCATCATGGTCGGCGAAGACGGCCTCCCTCAGCATTATGCCACTGTCCCTGACAGGCCCCGTGAGGCTGAATCGATGCCTTCGACCGTCTCCTTCCCTATTCACCACAATGCCTCTATCCTCTGCCTGCAGTACGACTCGGAATTCCTCGTCACTGGTTCTTCCGACAGCACCTGCATTGTGCATGATCTGAAGAACGGTTTCGAGCCCATTCGCCGGCTTCGTGGTCATACGGCTGCAGTGCTTGATCTGGCATTCGACGACAAGCATATAGTCACCTGTTCCAAGGATGTTACTATCTGCATCTGGGACCGTGAGACGGGTGCTTTACTGAAGCAGCTTCGCGGACACACTGGCCCTGTCAATGCCGTTCAAATGAGGGGTAACACTATTGTGTCCTGCAGTGGCGATTTCCGCGTCAAGCTTTGGCATATCGATTCAGGAAAGAATATTCGAGAGTTCTTTGGTCACACGAAGGGTCTTGCCTGTTCGCAGTTTTCTGAAGATTCCCGCTACATCGCCAGTGCTGGTAATGACAAGATCATCCGCATCTGGGATGCTAATACTGGCGAGTGTCTCCAGAAGATCTCAGCTCATGACCATCTTGTCCGTTCGCTGCACATCGACTCTGCCAGTGGTAGACTTATTTCAGGCAGTTACGACCAAGATATCAAAGTCTTTGATATGGAAACTGGCAGGTTGCTATTGGATTTCCCTAAGTGGCACAGCAGCTGGGTGCTTGGTGCCAAGAGCGATTATCGACGTATAATCAGCACAGGCCAGGATCCAAAGATCTTGATTATGGATTTTGGAATGGGCATTGATGGCATCGAGAGGCTCGAGAGCCCTTAAGTTCTATGACATGAAAATGAGGCTTCCTACAGCCTGGATATTTGTACGGTTTGGTGTTGGACTACGGAATTGGGCTCGGATCGGACCTCTACGCTCCTTATTTCTCATCTGATGTTATCTGGGATATGGATCCTTTCTTCTTTCTTTCGCAAACAGCAGGTCTGGTCGCGTTCGTCTTCCGTTATCCTTGTTATTTTTCCTGGGGAGGCAGGCGGAATTTGGATCAAGGAAATTGGGAAATATCACTGCATTTCCCTTTATATATACTCCTCGGACGCGGAGGCAACTCTTTTTTAAAGCGTTCTGGGAAGTTTTTATTTCATTTATGTTTGTGTATCTGTGTTCTTGTTTTGACTAGAACCTTTCATGAAGGGAGAGGGCGTTTTTCTTTTAAGTGTCAGGGCAAAAACACTATAAAAAACCGAATTGCTTTACTTTTTGGTTGGACTATTCTTCTGAGCTGTCGCTTCTGCGTAGATTGTTGTGCTTGCCAGAGCGGGTTTCCTACTCATCTTCTTTTTTCTCTAGATATTCTTTAGCGAGCATTATACATACATTTTCTACACCTTCATATTATGTGTGCATATATGTGTACTTTCAATTGTGATGTTGTGTGGTTTTGGTAAAGACTGCTCAAATAACTGATCTTGCTCAATTTCGTCTTAAGGTAGGAAAGTCTGGTCAGCATGATGGTGGCAGTGATAGATCCAAACAAGCTGGTTGTGAATAACAGGCGACATGTATGGTTCTTGGCCATCGCTATGTAGAAGTGGGTTTACTGACAGTCCTAGTCAACCTTTTACCTAAGAAACGCGCATCAATTTGCATATGCAGTGTTCCCAAACCTCAGTTGGTAAAGGCGTGGAAGGAAAGAAGGTATTACTTATATAGAAGTAACTAGCCTATTAATATACTTATTCCAAGTTTATATAGTAGTATTATCTGCATATACCTTCTTCAGCTGCACTTTACATTGTCCTATCCAATAGACGCGGATCCATACGACAGACCATTCGAGGACTGGTTGTTTCAAACCATACGGAATAGTATTGGCGAACAGGGCTTATTCTCCGTACCTGATCGCAAAGCAATTAAACGTACAATATCTCGATCGAGAAATCCTCTGCACAAATGCACTTCAATGTACAATAATAACGTGACTGTCGAAGGGTACTGTGGAACAACGCTTGATATGATGTAGTAGCAGCTTGAAGAATACTTCGCTAGTAAACTAATAATATGCGTCAAAGGATCCACCTAAAAGGACCAGAATACGGATGGTGCAACCTGAAATTGAAAGGCTTCCTCCAGATCATGAATGTTCCGTCAAATAAATCCACGATAGGATGATGAAACAGAATGTGTCATTGTCCTCGAAATCAGTTTACTGTAGCTGTGGCAGCGGAAGATCTATAGGTACTTTCAAGCCTGTCGAGGACCTACATATTTCTAATAATGCCTGCAAAGCTGGGTGTATCAAGCTCTCTAAGAATGGAATGGTACAATGCGGCTTAGCGCTCTCGCTCCGGGCCTTGCAATTGGCCAGCCGGCAGTGGCTGGTTAGGTAGAAGTCCTTGATAGGTTTAATTAAGCAGGTAGCGAACAACAGGCGCTTTGACGGAGTGGTTAACGTGGTGCCCTGCTATGGTTCGCCATAACTATAGAGAGGCATTTCCTTCGGGAGCGTGTGTTCGAATCACACAGGCGTCGCAAACACTTTTTTGGACTTCCTTTGAAGAATAAATAGTTTTATTTGCAAGAACTCTCTTCTTACGTCAGCTGCAATCTTTCAACCCCTTTTTTGCATTTAATTCCTCACTGCTATTGTTATCTTTTCTATATAGCGAGTCCCTGAGGTGCCAGATGCTGTCATTTTACTAGTATGATGGCTAAGCACAGGCTAAGCTGCAACGTAGGCACGGTAGAGAACGGAACTTCATTATTAGCGAGACGCCCAACGGGGCTGGGGAAGGGATATTCTTGTACTGGCGAAAATATGGAATACCGATCGTGTCTCTGCCACTATAAGAAATTCATCGGAGGTTGTATTACTTTATGTGTTAATGGGACAAGGCCATAGAGCTTCTACATTCCTGCTAACTGATTTTGAAATGACATTTTGCTGCGCTTTTCAGCCATTACCCGTGAAAGTATCAGAGACATACGGCTGTACTCGATGGGAGTAATAGTTGGTTGGGCGCTCGGGTTGGTGGGGAATCCTCGCTGCCAACCACTAGTCACTCAGAAGTGTAGTAGGGCTAAACCCGACCCTAGAGCTAATCTTCTCGCCTAATTTCCCATACTAGTGCCAACCCGAAATCTCCAATATACGAAAAGTTCCAGCGATACTTTCCCGACAACCTCATCCGTCGCCAACATCGCAATCCACCATGAGTGCCCTCAACAAGATCGCGGCTAACAGCCCATCTCGCCAGAGCCCATCTGAGCTCGAGACCAGCATTGCTGGCGCTCTCTACGATCTCGAGTCCAACACCCCTGATTTGAAGGCTGCGTTGAGACCACTTCAGTTTGTGTCTGCCAGAGAGGTGAGCTAGAAATACACTATTCCTTGAAGGCAATTGATCGGAATCGGAGGATATTTTATGGGATGCAGCTTTAAAATACGAGTACACACACTGCGGGCGTCGACGAGGAATATCTATCATACATATACGCATGGACTTGAGTCTTTCGATCTCTTTTTTCTAGATTGGAGATATACTGGACGATCTCCCCCTTTATGGGATGCACGTCCTTTGTATTGAATATTGAAGAATATCCACAAAGAAGAAATAGAGAGAGAAACATCACTACACCCTGAAATGTGTTATGGGGCATGTTTCTTTGTCGGCGCTGTTGGCAGTTTTTGTGGAATCGGACGGGCTGCGGACCATGAGATTTCGCTGGAAGATTGCAGATTAAAATATTTTTGGTCTCTTCTTCTTGAGTTTCATGGAGATCGCCTGCTGACTTTGATCGCGTTTGTGTGCAGATTGAAGTTGGCCACGGCAAGAAGGCTATTGTCATCTTTGTCCCCGTCCCATCCCTTCAAGGTTTCCACCGAGTGCAGCAACGGTATGTACCTAACTCCCCTTCAGCTCTGTGCTATTCAACCTTCTTCTTAACCCGAACATAACTGAATTGGTCAATTGCTAATATACTCCATCACTAGTCTCACTCGTGAGCTCGAGAAGAAATTCTCCGACCGCCACGTTTTGATCCTTGCCTCTCGCCGTATCCTCCCTCGTCCCAAGCGTTCTGCCCGCTCTCGCACTTCTCAGACCCAGAAGCGACCACGCTCCCGAACCCTCACTGCTGTCCACGACGCCATTCTCACCGACATTGTCTACCCTGTCGAGATTGTCGGCAAGCGTCTCCGCACCAAGGAAGATGGCAGCAAGCTGTTGAAGATCATCCTCGATGAGAAGGAGAAGGGAGGTGTTGACCACAGACTTGATACCTACTCTGAGGTCTACAGACGTTTGACTGGCCGTGGTGTTACCTTTGAGTTCCCCCAGAGCTCCATTGGTGACTATTAGATCACTTGATTCTCAAAAGACAAAAAGGTGGTGGGAACTGTCATGGTACTTTGAGGGAGTATCCATGCATGATGCAAAGAAATGGTTATTATGGGAGGTGGATCTGGCTGATTGGGAATCGGAGCTGTTTTGCTCTGTCATACATGGGTCATGGTTTTGGCGTCTGTAGGGCTTACTTTACAAAAATCAGTAAAAGCTTCTAAGCATTCATGAAAATTCCCATTTCAGCCAACAAAGAAAAAGCTCACTGTGTTTGATGATTACTTGATAAAAGTTAACATGAGATTCTTCTGCAGAAGGACTGCAAATGGGTATATTTTATCAGTAAAAGAAATTCTATACCTGCGCTATCCTTCCAATCCCAAGGACACACCAATACGCCAGTTCTCTCTTCTCTCGAGGAGTCTCTTTGTCTTTGCCTATTGCAGGTGCCAGTGTACCCTCACCCCCCTCATCCTGAGCTACATCCGTCTCCCACTCTAATCTAACGAACACTGGGATCTCAAGTAAATCCTCATCTTCCTTTAGTGGACCATCATCCGTCGCCATTTTCAAGCTTGCTGGCACAACCTCCAGAACCACACTAACCCAGTTCCGGCCGTATTCCCATACTTTGCCAGCCTCAGCCTGGGGTTGTCCTTCGCTTGCTTCTGCTTTAGTTCTTCTCTTCTCCTTGCTTTCTCCGCCTTTACCTCCCCCTCCTCCTTCTCTTAATGCTTCATCCCACATATCAGTGTTGGCACCTACTTCAAATTGCGGACACAGAATTGTGACTTTACTCTTAAATCTGCCTGAAGTCTCTGCAGGAGTAGCAATGCTGACTTTCACAGCATCGAAAAGAGGGTTTCGGAAGGTGAGAACAAATTGTGTTGGTCTCAGAGGTGCCAGGAGGGAGGATTGTCCTGGTGGTATAGATTGGATTGGCTTGATTGAGATGCTGGGTACGTAATTCTGCGCTACGAGACGAATACGGAAACGTGTCGTTTGGACTTTCGATTCGGGTTTTGAAAGGATGTGGCGGCACTGTTTGCAACGTTTTGAACGTTTAGTGCGGAGGAGTGTGGCTATAGGGCGGAGATCATCAACGAATTGCGGGTTGTGAAGCTGTTCCCTTCGTTGAGTGAGGGAGGTTGTGTAATTCCATCCTCCCCTGCGTAATCTATTAACATTTTCGTCTTCCGAACGCAAAATCTGCAAGCCTTCAGAGACATCCACGGCTTCTCTCATGGGCTTTGGTTTGGTTTTTATTTTCTTGTCCGCGCCTCCTGCATATAGTCCCATGATTCGCGATAACGCACCAGGTGAGCCAAAGCCATAATCCCCGGCGAATCCAAGAGAACCAGAGGGCGCCGTATCTGCAGCTTGTGACTTATAGAAAGATAGTAGATTTGAGAAGTGGCTTTCTGTATCTAATATCTCGTCTAGTTCGAGGGAGTGTGGTTCGAAGGGCTCTTCAATGAGGGGAGATGATGAAGTGAAACTCCCTCTATGCTCGTCTCTATTGTCCCTTCTTCGTTCTTTTGCCGTCAATCTTGAACCTCCTCCGTTTTTGATTTTTGACAACTGTGAATAAATCCCGTTTGACTTCTCGAACTGAACTCCTATCTCTTTCGAACTCCATGTACAATGACCGCAGCTTAAAACATAAGATCCGATCGGTGTAGCAAACTCAGCTCCCAGCCCAGTAGGCGGTAGTTCTAGATTGGTGACTGCAAGAGGTGACGTGCATATCGGGCAATTAAAACAGTTCCGTGTGCATCTAGAAATTAACTAATCAGTTACAATCTTAAACCACCACGTATTAGAGAGCAGCATGCCTATTTCCTTCGGATTTCACGGTACTACTAGGAACTTCGAAGAGACAATTCGGGCAGTACCACGTCAAAATTTCTTCCAGATAACAGCGAGGGCATCGTATCTGGTGGCAATCCTCGCAATACAAAAGGTGTTCTAGAGGATACAGCGCATAGTTGGCGCGTGGCGCACTAGGATCAAAGTTACGGCCTTCTTCCTCGTCTTCCTCCGTTTGTGGGATTGGATCTGAGTCGATTGTCCGCGCTGAGGTTGGTATCTCTGAGCATGGACACTGTATATAGGTATAAGGCACAAAGGAAGCCATCGTTATATTGACCACCAACAAGATAACACCTTATTTATAGAAAAGTTATCCTGTTGGGAAGCTCGTGGTGAATGGGGAGGGGCAGAAAAACAACGCTAATCCTCATGAAAGCTAGGGACTGTTGGCGGTGAAGCGTGAGCTCCGATTATGTATAGAAAAGTAATCAGTCAATGTTGCTTGTAGTCTACTAGGATTTTAGTCTCATTAATTTTTCACCCCAACTAGAAGCTTCGAGACCCCTTCTGCTCCTTGATCTCAGGAACACTGGTCTTTACAAATTTCGGGACCAGTTGTAGGAAATTGCGCTTCCAAAAGTCTTTCCTGATATATTTAGTCCAAGATTTGGTATCAATTATTTCCCCCAATTTGTGCATACACTTGTCACACAAGAGCCCCATGAGAGGTGGCGGAGCACACTCCTCAAAAGGAGTTGTATCAGTTTGCTAGTATAGTTACATACGGGCGGTTTTAATCCCTCAGTTTTGTAACGAAGTGGCAACAGTACTAAAGGGACGCGTACTAAAAAGATCCCGGACTGCGCCCAGTTTCTAAATAGAGACGGCTGCTCTAGTATTCGTGGTGGGAGGACAATGCTATAGGTAATATCTTCCAATTTCGTGGTAGTGATCAAGGCCTGTAATTCATGTCATACATATACTGAATCCTTATTCCTACAAGTTGAAGGATTTGCTTCCTTCAATGGAGAGGGAAAGAAAAGGTTAGAGATGTTATGTAAGGATATATATCTGTACGGAGGTAGCAAGACCTGAAGTACGATCTTTATTTTCTCGGTCTCGAATCACAAGATATTATGGGAGCGCTTTCCTTGATCATGTTGAAATCTTATGTCTGAGGATAATTGGCCTAGAAGAGTCACAGGTTTATTGTATTCATATAATTGAACCTTGAATGCTACACATGATATCAAGGATTCTTCCCCAACAAGAATACGGCCCTGTAGTATCAATAGAACTTATTGCAACATTAGATAAATGGAAGCGCTTGCGTGACTATTAGCTGCCGGCCAGCTGGTATTTCGGTAGCGCAGTAGA